CACATATAAGGTCTCGGCCTCTGACCGATCTCTCTGGAGCCTGTGATCTGGTTGATGTGAAGGTTCACACCCTTTTCAAGGGTCACAGTGGAGAAAGGGGCCAGAGCAGATGGGGAAACTGGGCTGTGCACATCTCAAAAACACGCAGCCTTGGCTGGCCAAGTGGGGAGGAGGAATGTCTGAATTGAATCAATTAGCTGCAGAAAACTTCAGAAAAGAAGTAAGGCCTCTCTCTGGAGCCTGTGATCTGGTTGATGTGAAGGTTCACACCCTTTTCAAGGGTCACAGTGGAGAAAGGGGCCAGAGCAGATGGGGAAACTGGGCTGTGCACATCTCAAAAACACGCAGCCTTGGCTGGCCAAGTGGGGAGGAGGAATGTCTGAATTGAATCAATTAGCTGCAGAAAACTTCAGAAAAGAAGTAAGGCCCTTCATAAAAACAAAGCCCACTCCTTAATCCCCAAAGGCAATCCTCTCCCCGATTCCCATGGCTATTCCTCAGTAAACAAAGAAATCCCTCCTTCCACATCCACACCTCAATATTCATTATGAGCTGATGTCTGAGGCTGCATTCCAGCCTCCCAGAGTGCCCTAATGACTGGAAACCCAATGGCAAATGACTGAGGGGTTTTCCTCTCTCCTCTCTTTCCATAGCTCTGCCCTTCCCACGGCAGTCTGTGCTTTCTTTCCTCCTCCTCTCTCTTTCTTCTTTTCTTCAAATTAATGAATAAGCAAACCCCTAGCAAGCAAATCAAAGCAAAGACATCACTAACTCTACTTTGTTCATTTATTTTGACAAGTGCAGTTTAATTTTAATTATTTATGATAATACTTCATAGTAGATGAGTAAATGTGCCTGGGTATATTTGGTAACATTAATGAAGTCTGCCTAATAGGGACCTTCACTCCAACATCCCGCCTGGAGAGCTGCCTGCTGGAGAAGCAGGGTGAGACCACTGGTCTGTGGTAGGGTTTGCAATTTTTTGTGGGGGTGGGAGAGGGGGGAACTTAATGGGTTTGAGGATTAGCCAAGGGAAAATTAACCCGATTCTAGAGAAGAGGCAAATACATAAGCCCATAATCGTGTGTCGCTGTAGATTGTGTGTATTTAAACATCAAGAACGAACACTTGGTGATAAGGAGGCCCAGGCATGCACACATGCCACATGCATATTTACACATGAATCTCCAATGTGCAAATCATCAGAGGCCCAAAGAAATTAGGCGCTGGGCAATTAAAAATTGAAATAAAAATAGAAAATCGGATACACAGAGTTCTCTATCTCTTCAAAATACCTTTCTCCTATTTATCATATGCTTCAAGTGGGCAAACATGGGAAGGTAATTTTTAAAAAGGTAGGCGGTTTCTCTGGCTGGTGATTATATAGGAGTGTTCCTTTCAACACACAATGGACCATGATACACAAGTCTCTGTTGATGCAATGTCACTTTAGGGCTGGATGAGGGATGTAGCTCAGAGGTAGTATACTTGCCTAGCATTCATCAGGCCCTGGGTTCCATTCTCAGCACTACACAAAACAATAGAGCTGACTTATATTGCTTCTCCCATGACTGTTAATGTAAGTGTAGGAATACACACACACACATCACATAAGAATGGGTATATTCTGCACCATCTATTCCAAACAGGTATCTGGAACATCTTGAGATACATGCTGTAAAGAATTTACCATAAAATTTTCTACAGTAATAGATTTAAAGCAAATATGACTAATGCTTGATTTCTGAAACTGTAAAGAAAGCTTTTTTATTTTTTTTATGGGTATGTGTGTATTGCCTGCATGTAGGTAAGTGCACCCATGTCATGCAATGCCAGGCGGAGGACAGAAGAGGCTGTCAGATCCCCTGGAACTGTAGTTATAGACAGTTGTTAGCTGCCATTTGGGTGCTGAGATTTGAACCTGGGTCTTCTGCAAGAACAGTGTTCTTAACCACTGAGCCATCTCTCCAGCCCTGAAACCTTTATTTATTTTTTAAAGTACAAAGGACTTCCTGTTTCTTATATTTGAAGTGTCTGCTGGTACACAGGTGGCTTACAGACATTTATTTCAAGAGATAGGTTTTCTTGAAATCAACTGTACTTCCTATCTTCTGAGACAGGACAAGGCCTGGGCTTTGTCTAGCTCCTGGGGTAAGAACCAGTAACTTTGTCTTTCCTAGTTTCCTTTCTGAATGATCCCAAAAGAGATAGTGGGACTTCTTCACAAGAAGGGCACCACCAAAGTTAAGAGGTGGAGATTCTTTTCTTCACACAGCCCTGTGTTCAGAGTAACTGTCTCTAGGATCTACCTACTTCTGCACACAGGTGCTCCTGAGGTACCTACCTCACAACTCCCTACTCTACAAGTGTTTTGGACAGTGCAACAGTATCAGCACAAGCACCTGGCTCCCAGCTTTCTTCCCTGGCCCCAAGCTCTTCCAACCTTTCTCCTTAAAGCAGTGACCTGGCTCTGGCGTGGGAAAGGCTGTTTGGAGCTTTTCACAAATCCAGTATCCCCTTGAACCAAAACCAATTAGCCTGGCCCAAGGTCCTGTCATTGAGGCCCTGGCCCTCTTTTCAAACCCCTGCGGCTCAATTGCCATGAGGGGCTGGCCAGTGAATGCAGGGACCACTTAAAG